CCGAGAGCTCGGGCAAGCAGGCCAGCAGATCGGGCGAGTCGCGCAGGTGGCTCTCGTAATTCGCGATGGCCTCGCTCCTCGGCATCATCTTTGACACCTTGAAGGGGTTCGCCCACTTGGATGGGGAGAAGCCATACCGCTGCCCTGTGCGACCGATGTACACCTGTGGGCGCTCGTCGCTGTAGGATCGGCCCAGCTCGCCTCGCACCGGCAGCCTCGCCTCGCCCTGAGAGACCACCGAGCCTCTCTCACGATGTGGAGGCAGAGGAAGGTCGCGCCGCAATTCACGGTCCTCAGGCAGCGGAGGCACTCCCTCCAGCCACTCACGAAGCAGCCGCCGGTGGATGTGCTGGATGATGCCTGTCGCCGACACCCAGCCCATTGGGATCACGGCCGCGGCCACGTGCACCTCGCCGGTCCCGTCAAGACCGAGGCAGGACCTGCTCACCTTCTTGGAGAGCGCCATGTACTTGTGCCACACCGCGGGCAACCGGTACACGTAGAAGCAGCACTTGAGGTCCTCCGACGAGCTCATCATCACCTCGCCGCTCCTCAGGATGATGCTCTTCCACTTGTCTGTCGTCGGGAGGAGACCCATGTCCCCCTGGACCGTCTCCTGCAACCAGTTGCTCGGGATGATGTTCATCACTAGCCGCTGCGGCCCCGAGCCTTTGACGTGTCCCGACTTTCGTACACCAAAGAGGCCGCCCAGCACGCGACGGCCCTTGACCTTCACGATCTCGTCGGCCTCGATCGGGACGAGGATGCCCCTGTTCACGAGCTCGGCCGCGATGAGCTCCCACTCGTCATCCTCGGCCCAGACGCGCGGGGTCTTGGGCATCTCGCCCAGCTCCGCGGGGCTCTTCATCACCCACTCCGGGTGCTCCAGCACGCTCCTGATCCAGCCTTCGCTCACCTCGGTCGCCAATACCGAGCCGCAAGCCTCCTTCGACGGCAGGGCGAGCAAGAGGCGCTCGCGGTCTAGCTGCTCGGCTGGGTACACCTCCATGCCCGTGTAGCTCACTGCCGACGACTTCAGCTCCTGGGTCCAGTCGAGGTTCGCCACGGAGCCCTCGTACTGGCATAGGAACGTGCCCACACTCCTGGCCAGCAACCTCAGGGCCTTCAGCTGCACCGCGCTGGCGGGCCCGTGCCTTACCTTCCAGGGGGCCATCTTGAGACCAGGATGCGTGCCCCCCAGCGCGTACTGGAAGTTCAGGCTCAGGACAGTGAGCTTCAGCCAGCCGTTCAGGTCGTCCTCGAAGGAGGGATCGACTGGCTCCGATTCGCCGAACACAACGCCGTTCATGCTCAACTCCTCGATCGTCAGATCGACGCAGGGCAACGGCAGCAGGTCACGCCGTCCGTTCCCTGCGGTCAGTGGTGGGAGGATATCATCGTACGATTTCGCATCAAAATTGCCAAGTGCCCCGCTCGACGCGGGCGAAGAAGTACTGAGGTCAGCTAGACGGCGTCCCACAACACGAACTGGAGCTCCACAGAGACTGCCCAGCTCACTGGCGGCACGCGTCGGGTTCAAGTAAGGAAAGTCGTGAATTCGCGTGGACGGCTCGTCCGAGACTGCGCCATGAGCGGCGCCGTTGCACTCATCCTCAAGGTACGAGGAGAAGGTGATCTCGGACTCCCAGCTGCCGTCGGACGCGCAGTCACACGCCTCTCGAGTGCCCTCGAAGCTCATGCATTCTACTTCCGATTCTTGTTGGACCTCTTGCCCTGGCCCTTGTCCTTGCCCTTGCCACGGGCCTGACCCTTCGTGCCGCCCTTGCCCTTCGGGTTCCACGAGCGCCAAGGTGGCGTCCCGCGGTGCTGCCCTGTGTCGCCCTTCGGCTTGCCCTTGTTGCCAGCCTTCGCCTCCGCGGTCACGTCGTCCGCGAACCTCACGCGACGAACAGGGCTCGAGGGTCTCCGAAGGGCCGGCTTGCGATCCACTCCAGGGCTGATCGAGCCAGGTGCTGGCCGCCAGTGGGGCGACGGGCTTCTCGGGCTCCCCGATCTCTCGCCAGCACCTGTCCCGGCTGCCGGGCTCGGCGACGCTCTCTTCACTGCCTCGCCAGCGTCCCCTCGACCGCGACCTCGCCCTCGGCCGCGTCCACGCCAGAGCTTCGCCCTCCACCTGTCCTTCCTCGATCCGGGCGTCGGCGCATCCTTCTCCCCCTGTGCTCCAGGACTCGATGTCTGTGGGGGCGGCGTCGCGGGAGAGGGCGTCCTGGTGCGCCCGCCCTCTCCCTCGCCGAATCCCTAGGGGGGCCTCCTCGCGCCCGCTCGAGTGAGGCGCTCCTTCAACTTCGCACCCTCCGAGTAGGATGCCACGGCCGCCGACACCTCGGCGCTGCTGGCCAGCCCGATGTCGGTGGAGTCGATCAGTTCGAGGTGCTCGGCTATCTTCCAGTGCCCGTCCTTGGTGGCCTGCTCGATGGCCTTCAGCCTCTGCATGAGCATGTCGCCCAGCTGCGGCAGATCGCCCCTCGTGAGGGCGTCCAGGCACTCCCCGATCATCCTCATCTCGCGCACATTCCGCACCCCCATCTCGTTCTGAGGGTGCATGCCGTGCCACACGCTCGTGATATACTGCACCACGTTGGACGCCATCCTATCCAGCTCATCATCGTTGTCGGCCCCGCCCCGCTGCGCCAAGTACTCTCGGATCTGCTTCAGACCCGCCGCCATGAGCGCCCCGGGGTCGGAGCGGGCCAGCTTCTGCACTCGGCGGCCGGAACCAGCGGTCGGGGCCTCATCAAAACTCGCACTGTCGGAGCTATCCTTGTCCCTGTTCTTCTGCTTCTTGCGGCTGCGGCGGCCCTCCAGCGCAGCCTCGGCGCGCTCGGCCAGCGCCTCGCCCATGGAGCGCTTCCTCTGAAGCTTCTCCTTCAGCCTCTTGACGATCTTCCTCATCTCCTCGGCCGTCCTGCCATCCACGTCCTCACCGTCGGCACCGCCTGAGCCCTTGGGAGCTCCACCTGCGTTCTTGCCCGGCACCACGGGTCCAGCGTCAGCGGCGGGCGGCGCACCGCCTGCAGGGAGGGCGCCAGGCGGGGTGGCTCCAGCGCCATCAGCGGCACCGCCTCCAGGCCCGGCCGCCCCCAGCACGCGCAACGTGTCCGAGTGCACCACGTTGCGCCCTGGCCAAGCGGTCGTGCGACAGCAGGTCGCCACGCCCTGGGTGCAGAGGTGCACCACGCTGCTTCCCATCGCGAAGATGCCCTGCAGGATCGGCAGGTAGAGAGGGTCGCTGCTGCTCTCCACTGTGCACTCCACGAACTCTCCTGCCGCGTCAGGCGGATACAGCCCTGTCACGGTCATCGTCGTCGTCCCGCTTGGCTGACAGGCAGCATCGTACATCACCAGCTCGACGCGGCAGCCGGCGCTCAGTCCCAGGAGGCCGTGGGTCACGGCCTGGGGCGCCATGGGCACGTATACCCAGGGTCCAGCCTGCTGCGCCGCCGCCGCGACCCCCGCCACCGCTGGCTGGGCGAACGCTGCTCCGAACTGCGGCAGCGCCCCGCCCGCCGCGGGCATGCCTGCCTGCCAGCCCACGGGCACAGGCGCGGCGGCGGCTGGCACCGCGTGGGCGGCCTGCCCTGCCACGGCGTGGCCGCCTCCACCCCCAGCGTGAGCGGGTGGTCCCACGAGGGCTCCCACCCCGGGGATCCCTGGGATCAGACCCGGCACCACGGGGCCGCCCAGGGCTGCTGGCGCTCCTGCTCCAGCGCCAGCGCCTCTGCCGCGACCTGCAGCGGGCGGCGGGGCGGCAGGCGGCTTGCCCATGCCGCCCATTGGGCCACCCATGCCGCCCATGCCGCCCTTGCCGCCCATCCCGGGCTTCGCCGCTGCCTTGCCTCCGCCTCCTGGTGCTGCGGGGCCTGCAGCGGCTCCGCCCGCGGCCGCGGCAGCTCCAGCGGCCACTCCGGCAGGCGGCGGCGGGAGCAGGGCGCCGACGCCAGGCGGCAGTCCCAGAAAGCCGCCCAGCACTCCGCCGCCGCCCACGCCGAGGAGCCCCCCGCCAGGGCCCAACCCAAGCGGGCCAGGCGGGGCGCCCGCGCCAGCCCCCGCGGCTCCGAACATCGCCACCGCCGTGCTGCCGCCGCGGCGGCGCGGGCTGGTGAGCTCCCCCAGCCGCCGAGGGGGGAGCTCACTCGGGCGCGGGCTCCTCGGAGGGGGTCATTCTGGGGACCCCCGCTTGCTTCTCTCACAGGGCTAATAGAAGCACCTCCACTTGAGCCGAGGCGGCTACGGAGAGGCGGTTTAGAGGAGATCGTTTCGAGGACGGAGGGGGGACGAGATAAAACCCATGAGAATCTCAAGGATATGTATATATGCATTTCCAGAGTAAGAGAATCTAATCCTCCTTCCCCTCCTCATCCACCTCCTCCCCTCCTCCTCATCCTATATCGTTCATCGTTCTCCCTCTCCCCTCCTGACTACTGCTGCGATGTGTTTTACAAAAACGGCTGGCCAGGCTGCAGGCGTTACACGCATACATAGCCCTTGCCCGTCCTCCCAGACCTCCCGCATGCAGCATCTTCTCGCTCGAGAGGAACAGGGGGAGGACGTGCCTGCGGCAGGGTGCCTGCTGACTCCCTGGCTCGAGATGGACTGCGGTCAGTCTTGTAGGTATGATCGATTCTCAGTTTGCGAAGCAGGCCACTGCAGACCTCTCGAGCGGCTGAATGTGTCGAGCCAATGGTTTCAGAGCAGGGGTGCAAGAGACCTGGGGCATGCCCAGTGGGGGAAACCGGGCGGTGGAGCGAGTGGACAATCACGGTCTCAGAGGTCTCCAGATGCCGCCACGGGACATCGCAGGCCAGCACTGAAGGGGAGGAGAGGAGGCGGGAGGGTGGAGGGAGCGAAGCGAGGACAGAGCAAGGAAGGAGGCAGGAGGGCATACCGAGTGATGCCACAACTGTTGGCCCCCAACAGGTCCATTGCAGAAGCAGGACCAGGCATGTCCCACGACCCCCGGCAGCGGTCGGGCGGCAGTCCCGCTTGGGGTCGCCCAGGCCGCCCTCGTCCTCGGACTCGGGTTCCTCCGCTGCCTGTGCCAAGGGAGAGAAGGAGGATAGCTGGAGAGGAGGAGGACGCACATGAATGAGGGGGAGTAGTAGGAGGAAGGCGCTGACCAGGTGGAGGGCCCTCCGAGAGAGCTCGGGTCGCGGTCGCCCACATGGGCTGGGCGGTCAGCGGGCAACGGACCCACACCATCCCTCAGGCTTTGTCGTCCTTGTGGCGTTTGGTCCAACTGTCAGTTGAGGGGAGGCTCAATCCATGGATCTTTGGGTTCTTCATATAGACTTTGCTGTGGGGGTGCGGGCCATGGATGAGGGACCGGCTAACCAATGCTCCTGCGGGAGCGCCCCCCCAGTGTTCTGTCGGCGGGGACAGACTGGCGGTTTCCGGCGGTGGGATTCTGGCGTCGGTCGGTCACTGGCCAGCCTTCTCCGGGCCAGCGGAGGCGCCGTTTGGGGGCGAGACTTCGCACACTGCACGCGCACAAATCCACACGAACCTACATAGACAAATACACTCTTAACATGCTGAGCACATTCACACCAGACCTCAGGGCGCAAGGGCGAGCCATCAGCTACGCTGAAAAACAAGTGCCAGCGGGAGGACGTGACTGGAGGAAAGCTCGTTTCGAACTGGGCATTGCATGGCCGCGCGGCGACTCTTCCCCAGGCGCTGAAGGCCTTCTCCGACAACACCCTGGAGCAGGCCCGCCTCCTCCAGCCTGCGCTCCAGCCTTGGTTGGGTCGTGCGCCAAACTCTTCGGAATCTCGAAGTCATCTTCCTCGGCTCCCGGGCGGCTTGAGCGCCCAGGCGAGAGGAAAGCGGAGGCCGAGACCTGGCCCATGACGTCGTGCTCCAATGGTCCTCGCCCGCTTCCACGCGATGTTCCGCCTCAGCGTCATGCTCGGGCTCCACGGCCTGCTGGTCCAGGGCCAGCTCGAGCTCCGCCCTTTCGGATCTCGGCATGCCGACCTGCGCCGCCGGCACCCCCTCCGCAGCGCGCGCCTCCAGTCGGAGCTCCGCCTTCTCGGACTCCACCCCACTGGGGCGAGGGTCCGCGCGAGGGGTGTGCTGGAACGGGCATGCGGGCAACGGCAGCAGCAGAGGCTGGCAGCGGCAGCGGCGGCAGAGGCACATCAGCAGCAGCTCGCCACAGGCAGCGCAGCTTCCGCGACAGGGGTGGGGGTGGAAGGAAAAGCAGCACGGGAGACGCGCAGCGCAGCGGAGACACGACAGTGACCGAACTCCACAGGACGGTGCAGAGTCAGGCAGAGACAGGTGCACCCAGACAGGACATACAGGCACACGGACTGACGAGCATGCCATGCCAATTGCCGCACGAGCGCGCATGCGGGATTTCCACGGGCACACCGCGCGCACCCACGCGGCACGCATCCGTTCGAGAGGCATGCCCGACAGCCTCAAGGCCCCACAAGTGCTTCGCCTTGTCGTTGCTCGGAACCTCGGAAAAGGGTGTTGGGGGGGAGCCAGGCATCCAAAAGGAGAAGGGAGGCAAAGGAAGGGGGAAGAGGGGAGGGATGCGAAGAGGCGAGTCGGGAGCAGGAGAAAATGATGCGAAGAAGGAATGGAATGCAGGGAGGCGTCTGAACGGGCAAAGGACATGGGACAGATAGGACAAGGTGTAGGCAAGATAGGAACAGTGAGGGAAGGGAAGGGGAGGGATAGAAGGGGATGGGCGCGTATGCACATACACTCAAAACTTATGCTAAGAAATATTCCAGTATGAACTTTAGATCCAGCTTCGCTGAGTTTCTTAGCCCTCTTGCGAGAGCCAGCTTTGAAGCGTGCAGTTTCTTCGCGCAGCGCGGCGCCAGTGTTGGTGGTTTTGATAAAGACTGCGCCGGTGATGATGCCGATTGCGCGGGGCCGGGGGCTCTGCAGCAATGTATGAAGCACAACATGCAGGAACATTTGGAGAAAGATTTGGGGGGGATCTGGACGAAGACCGGCGGGAAATCTGAAGGACAATCTGGAGAAAGACCTGGGGAATATCTACAGTACAGGAGAGATCTCGAGGAAGATCGGGGGAATATCTGGGTGAAGATCTGGGGTAATATCTGGAGGAAGATCTGGAGAAAGATCTGCAGGAAGATCTAGAGGAGAGATCTCGGGGAACATCTGGGTGGATATCTGGGGGGAGATCTGGAGAACATCTGGAGAAATTATGGTGGAAGATTAAGAGAAATATCTGAAGGAAGATCTAGAGGAGAGATCTCGGGGAAGATCTGGGTGAAGATTTGGGGGAAGATCTGGGAAAGATCTGGAGGAAGATCTGGAGACACATCTGGAGGAGAGATCTCGTGGAAGATCTGGGTGACGATCTGGTCGAAGATCTGGAGGAAGATCTGGAGAAGATTTGGAGGAAAATCTGGGGGAAGATCTGGAGGAAGATCTGCAAGAAGATCTGGTGGAAGATCTGGGGATATCTAGAGGAGAGATCTCGAGGAAGACCCGTGTGAAGATCTGGATGAAGATCTGGGTGAAGATCTAAGGGAAGATCTGGGTGAAGATCTGGGTTAATATCTGGAGGGAGATCTGGAGGAAGATCTGGATAGAGATCTAGAAAAAAAGATCGCGGGGAGGATCTGGGTTGATATCTGAGGGAAGATCTGGAGGAAGATCTGCAAGAAGATCTGGGGAAGATCTAGGCAGATGAACTAGGGATATCTAGAGGAAGATCTGGAGGACGATCTCGGGGAAATCTACGAAGATCTGGTGAAGATCTGGGAGAGGATCTGGAGGAAGATTTGGGGAAGATCTAGAAATCTAGAAGATCCGGGGAAGATCTGGCGGAAGATTTGGGGAAGATCTGGAGGAAGATCTGGGGGAAGATCCAGGGAAGATCTAGGAAGATATGGTGAAGATCTGGATGAAGATCGGGGGGAAGATCTAGGGGGAGATCAAGAAGAAGGTCTCGAGGAAGATCTGGGAGAAGATCCAGAAGATCCGGAGGAAGATCAGGAAGAAGATGTCAGCGTTAAAAAACTGGGCCAGCTTTTGGGAATCCGTTACGAGACCCTTGCCTCCCCCCCCGCCCTCCCCCCCCAGACTCAGAAAAAGGCAACGCACGGCGGATCCATGAACGAAGCAATTACGACAGGACCGCGCTCCCAAGACCACGATCTCTCGTAAATTACGCTCCGTCCGCTCTCCCTGAACTACGATCACTCGTAAACGACGCTGCGTCCGCGCTCTGACGACAACTGGATTCGCGCTCCCAGGGCCACAATCCTTAGGAAACTACACCGGACTCATGCTCCAGGGCCATGGTCCCTCGTAAAATACACCGGGCTGGCGCTCCGAAGGCCACGATCCATCGTAAATTATACTGGGTTCGCGCTCTCAGGGCAACGATTCAATGTAAAGCACGCTGCGTCCGCGCCAACAGGGCCACGATCCCTCGTTAATTACGCTGTGTCCGCGCCCCTGGGGGCAGGACCCTAACAAATTACGCTGTTTCCGCCCCGAGGGCCAGGATGCCTCGTAAATTACATTGCGTCCGCGCTCCCAGGGCCAAGATCCATCGTAAATTACGCTGCGTCCGCGCTCCCAGGGCCACGATCCCTCGTAAACTACACTGCATCCGTTCTCCCTGGGCCGCCCACGATCACTCGTAAACTACGTTGCGTCCGCGCTCACAGGGCCGCGCTCCCTCGTAAATCACGCGGCGTCCGCGCTCCCAGGGCAGCCTGGGCATCCTGGGGCGCCCAGGCTGCTCAAGTTCTGGAAAACAAGCGCTTCGCTCGAGACATGCTCAAATATTCGGCGCGCAGGGCGCGCCATCCTCGAGCGGGCACGCAAAAAGTAGATGTCTTCATTTTCTGATACATGTCAAAGCCTCCAGACCTCGCGAATTATAACGGATTCTATGCAACACGCTCCGCATAGCGCTTTCCACAAGGGAAAACGTGTGTCTGCGGACCCCGTTATCTATCAGGATCCGAAATCGGAGGCACATCTTCCTCGAGCGGGCACGCGCGAAACGCATTAGTTTAAACAACGAAAAACGTCAGAGGCCACCTTGTTATTTATCGCAAACAATTCCGCCGGGGCACATTTTCCTCGAGCGAGCACGCGCGACACGCTTTCCAAACAAACATTAAAACTGTACTAAAAGACGATTCCGGGTGTAAGCCTACTAAAAGAAAAACCCTGGGCCGGCGCCCTGTCCGAGAAAAACACAAACAGAAAAAGACAGACAGAAAAAGAGAGAGAGAGAGAGAGAGAGAAAGAGAGAAAAGATTTGGAATGGGATGTGAGTGCAACGGGAAGGGAGGGGAGGGAGAAAGGTGGGCGGGAGAAAAGGGGAATGAGCAAACAAAATGAAGAGAACAGAAGTCGAGAGAAGATGGGAGTGCGCAGGGAATGGGAGTACTACCAGCACCACAAGCGAAGAGCAACAATCTTGCCATCATCTTATACTTTCAGTGCAAGCCGGATTGGTCAGTTGCTCCTCCGGCCATGTCGCGAAGATCAGGTGGCACATCATGTGAAGCTTCTCGGCCACATTTATGAGCTACAAAGCTGGAAGTCGTTGTGTCGTAAAAGGCCTGTGATGATGGTTCAAGTCAAGCCATTTAAGTCAGAGCAAGCTGGATCCAGCCACACTGGGACGGAGAAAGCAGGATCAGGATGGATCAGAACCAAGGGAATACCAGGGCCGACCGCTACTTCAACCTGGCATGGAGCTGCAACCTAACGAAGTTGGGGGGCGAAAGATGTGGTTGGCACGAGGCAGACAAGCCCTGGAGAAGTGGGGCTTACCCCCGGACAATCTGTCGACGGTCCTGGGGCCCAGGGAAGCCGAAAGCAGCCCAAGCAGGCAAAACATATTCCAGGACCCGTTTCTTCCAGGACCCTTTGATCTGCTCGGTGGGAACTGCAACCTGACGAGTCGCGGGGGGGCGCGGGGGGGGGCAGGCGTGCTGGAACCACCCGACAAGAGGACAGAAAGAGTGCGGACGATGCCTAACAACAAACGTTGTCCAATACCGTCAGTGCCCGCTGTTGGGCAGTTGGGAGGGCGACGATCGTCCCAAACCGCCAACGTCCAGGCGACACCGACAGCGAACCCTGCTGTGAGACGGGGACCAGGAATGGGGGGTAGCACACCATGGCCCGAAGCATGTGCCCGGACAACGGGGGGGCGTGTGCCCGGACAACGGGGGGGCGTGGAGTCAATTCAACGATGAAGAATAAGAAACAGAAAAAGAAGGAGACGAAAAAGAGGGGGTCATCAAATCTGGAAGTTTTCATGGCCCCAGACATGATCTCCGCGCCACCCCCGTCCGCACCGCCCTCTTCGACGCTTCCGACTACTGGCGGCCATCGCCCCCAGGGAGGGATAAACAAAAACTGGGAACGAAACCAGTGGGTCCCTATAGGGAGAGCCAGTTGCTCTGGGCGGCCCCCTTGGCCGTTGCCCCCCCCCCCCCCCGGACGAACACTTCCTGCCCCCTCGGGAGGCAAGAACCAGGGACGGAGACGCTGTTTATTTGTCTACACGCAAGAGTGACCCTGGGTAAGAGTGACCTTTGGAGCGCGCCTTCTTGGGGGCCGCCGGGGGGCCAAACACAAGCGCGCAAGACGCCACTGCCGCCTCGCCTTTCGGCGATCGGGGGACCCCAGTGGGCCCACACCAAAGGTTACTCATCGGCCCCGCGTCGTCGTCGCCGTCGTCGTCGCCGTCGTCGTCGTTGTAAATTTACCCGTCGGACTAGTCGTAGTAGTCGTCGTCGTAGTAGTAGTAGTAGTAGTAGCAGTAGTAGTATGTGTTGTTGATGTTGCAGTTGTAACTGTACTAGTTCTTCTACTACGCCTACGACTACTACTACTACTACTACTACTACTACTACTACTACTACTACTACGACTACTACTACTACTACTACTACTACGACTACTACTTCGACTACTACGACCAC